CTTCAGAATTTCTAGCTTCAGAGGCTTGACTTCCTCCAGAGCCTTGGCTATCTTCAGAGTCTGAATTTCCACCAGAATCTGGATTACCATCAGAGTCTGGATCATCAGAGTCACCTTCATCTTCTGAGTCTTCTCCAGAGTCAGAATCCCTATCAGAGTCAGAATCAACGTCAGAGTTTACTTCAACTTCAGAAATTCTTAACTCTGACCTTTCTTCAGAAGTTCTAACATCAGAATCAGATTGAGACTTATCCCAATTCCAAACTTCTGATTCCTTCACAATCACATCTCTGCTGAATTCAATTTTATTGGTTTCTGGACAATAGAGCTTGTATGCACCTGTACTGTGGTACCCTATCAGAATCATCACTTTGCTTCTATCATCCAGCTTCTGTCTTCTGGCTTCTGGAACATGTTTATAGCAAACAGAACCAAATACCTTCAGATGACTAACACTTTGCTTGTCTCCAGTCCACTTCTGCATAGGAACTATTTCCTTCAACTTCTTCGTAGGACATCTGTTGAGTACATACGTTGCAGTGGCAACAGCTTCTCCCCAGAGCTTCTGAGGAAGCTTCTTCTCCTTTAGCATGCTTCTCACCATATCAAGCAAAGTACGGTTTCTTCTTTCAGCAAGACCATTGTGTTGAGGGGTATAAGGAGCAGTAACCTCATGCTCAATTCCATTCTCCTCACAGAACTTCTGGAACTCTTTGGAGTTATACTCACCTCCACCATCAGTTCTAAGAATCTTCAACTTCTGACCACTCTGATTCTCAGCCTTCATTCTGAACTTCTTGAATTCATCAAACACCTCGTGTTTGAACTTAATAAGGGATACCCATGTCATTCTTGTGAATTCATCAACAAACAACACAAAGTATTTATTCCCTCCAATTGATGCTACTGGAAATGGACCACACACATCAGAATGTACAACTCCCAAGGCATGTTTTGCTCTTGGAGCAACTTCTGATGCAAATGGCAATCTTGGTTGTTTTCCTTCCATGCAAACTTTGCATGACTTTTCAGGCTTCTTAATTGCAGGAATTCCATGTACCAATTTCTTTGAATTCAGATGTTGTAAGCTTCTGAAGTTCAAATGACCAAATCTTCTGTGCCACAGCTCACTCTCCTTCTCAGTACTTGTTGCACTAAGACACTCTGAGTCTGCAGTTCTGACATTCACCTTGAATGTTCTATTCCTTCCCTGTTCTGACTCCATAATCAGCTTCTGATTGCAGTCATACAGCTTCAGAAGATTGTCCTTCATGGTAACTGAAAAACCTTTCTCAATTAATTGTCCCACACTCATCAGATTGCTTCTGATGCCAGGTACATACCACACGTTCTGAATCAATGCTGTTTTCCCATTGTTCAGAGTCACTCTGACATTTCCCATACCTTCTGCATTAAGATATTTGTCATTAGCACATCTGATCTTTGTCCTCTTTTCAGAGTCAAAGTCAACCAGCCATTTCTTGTTTCCAGTAAGATGATTTGAACAGCCAGTGTCCATATACCACCAGTCTGTCAGATCATCAGATTCAGAGGCCATCAATAGCACAGATTCGTCATCAGAACTTCTGGCTATATTTGCTTCTTCTGATTTCTTCTCCTTGTTTGACCAACAATCTCTAGCAAAGTGACCAAACTTCTTACAACAGTAACATTGGATCTTCTTCTTGTCATACTTCTCTTTTCCCTTCTGAGCATTCTTTTGTCTATCAGAGGTTGAGCTTTCTGACTTCTGACCACCATCAGATCTTCTCCTGGCTTCTGACTGCTTCTGATACCTCCTATCAGAAGTTGCTTTCAGAGCCTGCTGTTCTACTTCCTTTTCAGAGTTTCTCTCAGTCAGACGCAACTCTTGCGCTTCTAGACTGCTCTGCAGCTCTTCAATTCTCATTGTGCTCAGATCTTTGGAATGTTCTATTGCTACCACAATATAATCAAATTGAGGAGTAAGGGATCTCAATACTTTCTCCATGATTGTTTCTTCAGAAAGAGTTTCTCCACATGCCTTCATCTCATTAGTGATCAGAATCACTCTGGAGATGTATTCAGAAACTTTCTCATTATTCTTCATGTTGAGATTCTCATATTGCTTTCTCAAGGACTGAAGCTTCACCTTCTTCACTGATGCGTCACCACCATAACATCTCACCAGAGTGTCCCATGCAGCCTTTGCTGTTGTAGAGTCTGCAATCTTCTCAAACACGTTTACATCCACACATTGATGAATGAAGAACAATGCTTTCTGATCCTTCTTCCTTACTTCCTTCTGCGCATTTTTCTGTTCATCGGTTGCATCTGCTGCTACTGGAACATAACCATCAGTGACAAGATCTAGAACATCTTGAGCACCAAATAGTACACGCATCTGGATCATCCAACGATTCCAGTTTTTACCGTCAAATACTGGAAGTTTGGTGTTCATGTTGCCGTTTCCGTTCATCTTCTTCTTTGCACAATACACTCAGAGTTTTCTCACACAGTGTTTCCCAACCCACAGAATTAAAAAATTCTGATCAGATTTTGTTCAAGATTCAACAAGAATCTGAGAAACAAAATCAAACACACAAGACCTCACGTTCACTCGTGTTTCCCGTGTTTCCCAATGAATCTGAACCGGAGCTCTGATACCAATTGTTGGTGCAAAGATAGAATAAATGATGAAATAGGAAATATTACTAATAAGAGAATGACGGCTACAAAACATGATATTAGGTTACAATGATTGTCACCCTATTTATAAGCTAAAATTAGGGTTACTAGAATAGGATAAATACTAAAATACCCTCTAACAAACTTATGGGCTAAGAAAAATAGTACAACTAAATAAATATGAATTATCATTAATATTCTAATAATCACTAGTAACAATTGATAATGATTTGTCAGAGACAATTCAATATGAAGACTTGATCAATGAATTTGCTTTAAAAAGTGTTAAAAGGATGACTCTTTTAAATAGGTAAAATTTTGATGATAATATTGATCTTGACGGCTGATCAGAACCTGAAGTGGGTCAGAGACAAACGCTTGTGATGTTGGGTGTGAGACAAGAGGAGGAGGTGTACCTGCAAGCACTCCGATGCTAAAGTAAGAATCAGGTGAAAGAAGGCAAGTACAGAATATGTGTGTATTAGAGTGAATATTGAATACCTGACCCTCTCAAATGAGTCATGCCTAGCCATTGAGTCAGTCCGGAACAAATATTAATTTGGAGCTATATTTTAATGTTATTATTTAGAGTATAGATAATTTTTATGTTACTTACAAGCATGCCTATTTTTGATATCATTGATTTTATTTAATATTTTAATAGAGACAATTATTTTAAAAATTATATTTTTTTATGGGTTCATTTTTAATGTTAGAAAAGGACCTTCAAATTATTTGAGACGGCTTTGAAGGGAAGCATGAGATATATATTAAATTATTTTAGAAATGTATATTCAGATTAAATTTTGAAAAATATATTAAGTCAGATTAAATTTTGAAAAATATATTAAGTGTGACTCTATTTTAATGTTATGATTGAAGAGAATTTTAATAATGTTTTTTCACCATTTAAGGTAGATGTATAGAAAAATTATTCAATTTACAGTTAATAACAAAACAATGGTTGCAATGTTATAAATATCAAAGACAAATATGCCTTAACTTTTTTTTAATAAGGCCTCATTTATTAAAATAAGCCAAAAGATTGCAAAAGAGGGATTTGTTAAAAAGTCAACTCAATCAAAAAGAAGAAAAATTAAAAGAAGACACTCAGCCTATTTTGAACAAAATCCTTCCTAATGTCTAATAAGATGGATTCAAAAATGGTTGGAGAGTTATATGTGAGACCAAGATTAGAAGAAAAAAAAGCCAGCACAAGTATTCCATTATCAATAGATGTGAGAATTGAAGATTGTTTATGTGCAAAAAGAGTTAGAAAAGTGTTCCATCTATTTCTAATTTGCAATGGAACCAAAGAAAACTTCTTGAAAGCTAACCAGAATATATAAATCAGTCTCGATCCAAATTTTGTGCCACACCTTTTCCCAAGCAATCTTCATAGCCTTAGTCACTACAACAAACTCTATGAGATAGGAGGAAGGCCAAATAACCTGCTCACTGTGCTCAGCAAAAGTCAAAAGAAATTTTTCGTGCTTGTTCCGGAAAATGCCGCCACAGCCAGATGGAAGAAGGTTATGGCTATATGCTCGAGAGGAGGAGGGTGCCAAATGATTTCGGTAATTCTGGGTGCCTTGGAAGGCTTTATGTTGATGTTGAAAGTTTGATTATTTGAAATTCATCCATAGAAGAGGATGTCGTCGCGTTGGAGTTGTTGCCCGTGAGAAAAAGCATAGATTGAACTTTTTGAATTGTGCTTCAGCAATTAGGTGTGATATTCCTAAATCTTTCCCAATTCCTGGATTTCCAAAGATACTATAGCAAATTCATCCTCCATGTATGGTAACACATCAATCCACTCACTAAACTATCTATACGCATAGACACTTTTACACTGCAGAAAACCTATCCACAGTAATAGACATCCTTTTGGGTTCTGTTGTAGATTCAGAAACAAAATTCCCACAAATGTGAAAATATGAATGGTTTTTTGATATGGGTTTCTAGTAAGAACAAGTTGGTGAATATGAATAATTTCTAACAAGAACAAAAATGACAATGTATAAAAGATAAGAGAGTTAAGTTTTAAAATGTAAGAGACAAATTTAAGAAAAGAAAAGTTAAGTTAAAAGGCCTCAAACAAAACTATACTCATATATACATGTTGCTTTCACATGGCCATAGATCATCATCATCACTCAAAATGCAAGTATCATATATCATCACACATTCCTTAACATCCCTACAGACAGAAATAGTTCTGGAATTTACCCCAAAATCAAAACTCCAAGTTGGCTTCTTGTCTCTCATTTCCGTCCACGCAAACCGTTCAAAAGGATTAGCGCAGCAGCAACATCAAACATATGAAAGTATAATTAGTGAGCCTCTGTGTCACTTGAACGTTTATACTCATTCCTCTCCTCCTCCCAGTCGCTATTAGCATCACAATGTGGAGCATCATAATGTGAATCCGATTTATCTGAAGACCGAGTCCAGTACTTACACGGAGCAACTGAATCACATACATAGCAGTAACACTGTATTTCAAATTCAACAAGAAAAGATTCTTAATTCAGAGACATTTACATATGAAAAAACAAAACACACAGTCCCATCTAGTCATTATACCTTTTCACAAGAACTCTCATGAGATGTAGTATTAAAGGGAAATTTAACACATAAATGTCTTGCATGTGGATAATCTCTACAAGCCACCTGCAAATTACTCAAAAAATATTGAATCAGCATAATCTCGAAATAAAGTTTGACAACAACTAACCCATTTGAATCTAAAACTGAAATTAATAATGACAATAAAACATTGTATGATACTGTACATAATAAATAACCTTAAACACAGTTTTACAAAACTACAAACTTGAAACTAATAAGAACATTCATTTCTAAGACATATGACATATAATTAATATTTAGTTAATTTTATATACATAAAGAAAATAAAAAGACAAAGAAATAGAGAGGATCTTATCCCAATAAAAACATAGGCTAATCCTAAATAACTGAAACCTATAAAACCTAATAAACAAAAAAAAACATGTTTTTAAAGGAGAAATAGTGATATTTACCTGACCCTTTTCAGCAACAATGGAGATATCGGAGGCATCATCATCATCATCATCGTTATTCTTGTTTTCCAGTGAAAGCTTTGAGAAGTCAATGGATTCAAATGGGTCAAATTCTAAGATGAAAATTTCCTCGGTTTCCTCATAAAGTTTGATATCTTCTTTCTTTTTGAGACAAAGGACCGGCCTGGTTGGGGTTTCCGCCATGGGTGAAGAAAGGTTGGAACTTTTGCTACAATCTTTCTCTTCTGCCATAGTTTTGTGCTTCTTCTCTGATTGGAACCAAGAAAGTGAAATAATCAACAACGGAACTAAAGCGAAAATTGAATTCCGATTTTGGAACGAGATTGCGAAACCTTTTGCGTTCTCTGAATAATACGGCATCGTTTCGTCGCGAGAGTGTAGTGTTTTTGAATGAGATTTGTATTTGGCCCAAGAATGAAGAGTGTTTTAAAGTTTAAAAGCCCAGAGGAAACGACAGTTACCCACTCAAGGGAAAATTTTAATTTATCTCCTTCATTTTCAAAAACACATGAAATTTTAATTTGAATGCTTTTTTTATAGAATTTTTCTTTTGAATAGCCGTTAAAATTATTTTTTATTCATTTTAGATTTTAAATAAATTTTTAAAAATCTTTAATTAAATTCTTCTAAATTATATACATAATCAAAATTATATAAAAATAACACAGAACAAACAATAACATGTCACTTCATTACCTCTAAAAAAAAAATTTCATCGTAGTAAATATTAAATTTCCAGAACTCTACTTAAATCTCTTACTTATATCAAACAAAATCAAAATGCTTTTTTCTAAGAGATTAGTTATTATGCACCATTACTATAATCTTTTTTACGTCATAATCATTATAAATGTTACTTTATAGATGATCAAAATAAAAATCAAACATAAATAAAAATTTAATGGTTATGATTAATTGAGTGAGGGTCGATCGAACATAATGTTAGGCTATTGCAAATATTAAAATGCGACTTTATTCTCTGTCAACCATAATTAAGATATTTAATTTTTAAGAGATGTTCTAAGATATTTTTCAAAATTTTGCTATGAATTAATGATAAAGTCGCATTAAGTTATATATGTTTTTTAATAGGATTCAATTATCTCTCAAACGAACGACTTCAGAAATCAAACAATAAGTTTTCTTTTTATAATGAATCACGTTGTAATCTCTCTCGCACTATTTTGATTAAATTAAAATCTTTTATTTGTTAATTACTTTAGAGATGTCTTCTGTTAAATATGTAATTCTTTGTGTCAAAATAGTGTGTGTTCAACAAAAGTCGAACATAGTCTATATTAACTGTATTTGATAGAAAGTCAAATACAACTTGTCGAAGCATGAAAATGTCGAAAGAGTCAACCTCGATAGAGTCGAAGAAGACTGACTTAGCTTAATTTTAGTTGAATTAGTTATTTTGTGATGACTTGGAGTGCAAGTAATTTCACCTATAAATAGAGAGGAACTCTATTTCATTTGAAAAGGTTAGTAAGAAGTTTTGTAGTAGCATTATGTAGCTTTTAGAAACCACAGTTGTGATTAACACACATTATAACAAACATTTAAAGTACAGTTTGCATAATAATACAATCATCTTCTTCTTCCTCTAGAATTTCTCATTTCTCTATTTTCAATTGTCTCGTTATCTTCTTTCAATTTTTGTCTAGTGTAGAATCATCTTACAACCAAGGAGTAGTTGTAACACCCCAATTATTTATTTATCGAATTATTTAAATTATTATAATTTAATTTACTTGTTATGTGATAATTGAATCAGTATGGGGGTCAGAGGTGTGTGACCTTGAGGTGGGAGTGTAAAGAGTGATTAGAAATTGGTAGAGGTGGAGTAGAATTATTAGAGTCTATTTTTAATAATTAAATAATAGTATTTTATTTTAATTATTTAATTAAAATGAGAAAATAAAATAATAGAAAATAAGCAATATTAATAGTATTTTTATTTAAATAAAATTATAGATGATAAGGAAATTTTGGTGATTGGGGGGATGAGTGATGGTAATGCTGGAAGTCTCTAATTGAGGGATTATGTTACTAATAAAAAGGTTAGTAAGGAGTTGGGAGAGTTTCTACGTAAAAAAATAGAATCTGATGGAAAGAGGAAGAGGCAATGGCTAGGGCATAAGAAGAGCATCCATTGAAAGGGATTTTAAGAATTTTATTGGAAAATCTAAGGTAATGGGAGTGAATAACCTTCAGTAAGGGCTTATGGATGAGGGGTAGGGTAGAAGAGTCCTTAATCTCCAATAGGAATGATCATTGTGATGATTTTTGTATTTGTCGTTGAGGAGTTTATATTCTCCTAGTTTTATTGATATAAAATTTGTGTGAATTGATGTTTGAAATTCTATATGTGTATACATGTGTATTTTCCACCATTGTTTCCATGATGTATTGTTGATTTAGATGTTAAGAGATGATAAAAATTCATATGTTTTCATGTACAATGATGTATGGTATATTTTGGGACTATTAGAGGTCAAAACTTGGGGTTTGGGATCTGATGAACGGTTGAAAACAGGAGCGATTGCACAAAATCACGAGAAATTTGGGGTTTATGGGCTCTTCTGCGGGTCGTAACACGTACTACGGGCGGTCGTAGCAGCCCTCTGGTTTTTGTAACGAAGGAGTGCCCAAAATGGGGTTTTTGGCTGGGGAGTGTTACAGGCGACCGTAGCAACTCCTTGGATTTTGTACCAAGTGAGACATGTTCAGCATAACTTGAGTTCCGTGAGTTCAAATGAGACGTCATTTGAAGTGTTAGAAAGCTAATGCACAGAGCTATCTTATGGTATTGCTTGGTGAAATGTTTGAGTTGTAGTCATTTACCTACTATATGGATATTTGTGCTAACTTGTATGATCAGTTAGCGAATCTTATGTTTATACGATGATGTGTTATTATTTTGGTGAAGTGACATGAATTAATGCCTATGAAGTTACATTTTTTTTAGTTGTTGTTGTCTGTTGTTATTTATCGATGTCGTAATAATGATTAATTGTTGTGCATGATGATTTGGTGTATAAATGGTGAGACGTGTATGGTGATCCTTTTGGTGAACTTTTTGGTGGTAATGATGTTGTCGTGTATATTGAGAATGTGACGATGTCATTATGTTTGAGGTGATATTTATGAATATTGGTACCACATACATATGCATAAAGTTGCATTAGTCAGGTTGCATTACATACTGAGTTATATGCATATTCGTTGATCTGTGATTGGTTGATGAATATGGGTGTGAGAATGTATTATGATATACTGTGAATGAGATTGTGTAAAACATGTTGTGTTTAATATCCTACTTTGCAGTATATGTCTATTAATATCATTTGTGATTTCTCGCCTCTTTGTTATTGATGTGGTCTGTGCTCCTCTTTGGAGTACAGTTAAACAGGTAACTAAGTAGCTGGTTAGAGTTAGAGGATGGCGAGAGGCTATTTCTTCCTTTTTTTTCTTTTTGCGTTTTATTTTGCTTGGTCTGATATGTAACACTGGGAAACATTTGTGAGTTTTGTCTAATCTTTTGCTAGAGAGTGGATGTATACTCTTATGTTTGATATTTCTATGTTTTGAGGAAATTTTATTTATGAGTTTGATTATGCTGTAAAGTGCAATTGAAGTTTAAATGATTTAGTTAATGTATGATTTATCATGGATATTTGTAATTGTTAAGGGAGATGTGTCTTGAAACTAACATTTCTCTAAGGCTTGATAAAGATTTCCAGAAAGCTTGTAAGATTATGGTTGTTGTGACTTGTTTTAACAAATTCCAGTGAAAAGAAGGAGGTTATTCTCTCGTGATTAGGGCTAGAAATGAGTCGAGTCGAGTCGAACTCACCTCAGCTCGGCTCGACTCGTTAAGAATTGTTCGAGTTCGAGTTCGACACGAACTTTTTTTAAGCTCAAACTCGACTCGTTATAAGTTCACGAACAGTTCGGTTCAACTCGTTAGGTTCATCTCATTAGGTTCAGCACACACGATTCACGGACTTAAAAACTATTTTTTTAAATATATATATATTTTTAGTATATTTGACTATTTTTAAAATAAAATATTAAAATAAAATAAAAGTTATTATATTGAAATTTTAACTTTATCTTCGAAATCTACTAATTCAAAACCTACACAACTTTCAAGAGATACATTTGAGAGTCTAATTCAAAAACTACTAAATTGAAGATTAAATTTGACTAAGATTTGGAGTATATATTTAAACATAATATTAAAGACAGTATAATTTTTCTCATATGTAATCAAGTTGACTCATGAACCTAACGAGTCGAACTATGTATAGTTCAAGTTCAGCTCATTTAGTTAACGAACTTAATTTTTCGCTCATACTCAACTCATTTGGTTCATGAACCTAGTTCAACGATTTAATTGTCGAATCAAATTCCGAACTATTTTCGAGTTGGTTTGGTTCATTGTCAGCCCTACTCGTGATAGACCTTAGTAGTGTTGTGTGGAAGCCTATAGATAGTGTATGAGTTCTTCTTAATCTTTAGACAGTTCATTACTAAAGAAATTAGTGAGATTAAGGGTGATTTCCACACACGAAGACTTGAAGTAGATTGCTAAAGCTAGAAGATTCAAGAAGCGAGAATTGAGTAAAGTTTTCACAGAGAGTTCAGCATAAAGCTTGTGTATAAGTCAAGATCCATATAGGAGATTAATTTTTCTCAGCATTATTGTGGATTAGTGATTGTATGAACTCGTGCAATATTTGTCAAAACATAATGGAAGAACAACTTTCAATGGGAAATCATTGGAGAGTGGAGTAGGCTCAGGCGAGGATGATAGAAACAAACCACTATACATCCCGATATACTCTCTCTCTCTCTCTCTCTCTCTCTCTCTATATATATATATATATATATATATATATATATATATATATATATATATATATATATATATATATATATATATATATATATATATATATATATATATATATATATATATATATATATATATATATATTGCATTTAATATTTGTAGGCTATTGTATGTTTAGGTTTTCATTTCTTAGTGTAGTTTATTGTTAATTCCTATTGGTAGCATTTTATTTCATAAGTATAGATTTTGTTAGAATCTGAACCTATGTATTAGTGCTGATTAAATTCTGAAAATGGTGGTGTGAGAATTTTCTAGCAATTTTCATTTTGTAAGGAACACGTCTCGCGTAAATTGAAAAGTTTCAATTCATCATAGTTTGCCACTCTTTGGAGATAATCTCTAATCAATCCAAAATATATTTATGAATGATTTCCAGTTAAAGCATAAAGTCTCTATTTTATCTTTAAGACTTCCGCATTTGAAAAGCTCTGATATTTTA